GTTCTCTGAACCTCTTAGAAAGTTAAGAACCGGTTCTCTCGGATAGGTGCGAACTGGCTGAATCCCACCACTGCTACTTACTGTCTAGGCTGCTTTGCACCCTACCGAGCCTCACCTGCCTAAAGTTATGAAAGGATACCTTGCTCACTTTTGATACCTCCAGGTGGGTCGAGATTGCAGTTGAGGAAACTGTGTTTAGCTTCTCTGTGTGGAAAGTGGAGGCTGGAATGGCCTCCCTTCCATTCCCTTTGCTATCAGGGCTTTGTAACAAGAAGTGCGGAGACAGGAAAGAGAAAGTATATAATAATCCCTGAAGACTTCCTTGTGAAGGGAACATGCTGCACCTACTTTGGCTAGCAGGGGTCACTGTTGCTAAACTTCACCTATCTGCTACCTAAATGCAAAACACGTGATTGTCTCGGTGCCTTGAATGTAGGACAAGCAGTTGTAACCGAAAGAATAATGTACAACTCTGGTCCTAGTCCAGAATCTTTAATTAACGATGTCACACGAGACACGCGGTGTCCTCAGACAGGGTGACCCATCTGTGAATCCTTTAAGGGACGGCTGCTGAATCCTATTCCAGCTTATTCCAAAAGGCCCAGCTATGTACTTTGTTTCCATGGTGGTGACCCAAATGCTTTGGGAAGTCCATCAACGGGATGGAAGGGCAAAAGAATCAGCAAGTCCTTCCTTCTGTCTTGCAGAAAAGGTGGCCATCTTGGCAAATGGCTTCTGGCAGCCTTTGCCCCTCCCATGAATCCTTTTGATCCTCTTTCCACAAGTCGTTAACCTTTGCTGCACCACGAGACACCCAATGTCATCCTCTGTGCAAGAAGCATCACCCCATTCCCTCCATCTGCCACCCCTAATTCTGCATCTGACCTGCACCTTATATACCCACCACTCTGGGCACAAAATCCTGGAATGGACTTCTTCATCCCTTTCCTTTGAAATTTAGAATATAGAATAATACAGTTGGACGTAACCTTGGAGGTCTTCTAGCCCAACTACCTGCTGAAGGCAGGAGACCTTACGCCATCCTGGTCAACTGGTTGTCCAATCTGAAAACCTCCAGTGGTGGAGCACCCGCAAATATGGGAGGCAAGCATTGGTTAATTGTCCTCAGTGTCAGGAATGTTCTCCTTAGTTCTAGGTTGGGTTTCTCTTTATTGAGCTTCCACTTATCACTTCTTGTCCTGCCCTCAGGTGCTCACAGCTGTATTATAAAACCGGAAAGGGGGGGGAGGAGCTAAAAACACCCCTTGCCAGAAGGGCAAGACAGACCCCCCTTCTCAACTGGGCGCTTAGGTAGCTCTTTAGTAACATGTGAATAGAGATGCAATCATCCAGGCCAAAAGTATCTTAAAAGGTTAACTCATGGCAACTGGACCGAAGTTTATTAAAACTGAGACGTTTAGTTATTCATCCAAGAAATGTCTTCAGGCAACATGAAAAGTTGGGTAGGCAGAGAATCAGATATTCATCAGGAAGAACCAATTCTTGCCATACAAATTTTCATATTGACCGAAAACTTACTTGGATGAGTAATAAAACATTTCAGTTTTAATAAACTTTGGTGCTTGATTTAATCTTTTAAGATACTTTTGGTCTGGATGATTGGATTTCCATTTATATGTTGCTTTTCAATTTGGGGAGAAACCCACTGCACTCTGTAAGGCAAGAGTTGGTTCTTTCCAACTGTCTTGATTCTCCACCTACCCAAATGTTCATTTTGACTGAAGAAGTTACTTGGATGAGTAATGAAACATCTGTTTTAATAACTTTGGTCCAGTTGCCATGCTTTAAACTTTTTCATATAGCTTATTAGTACTGTACTCACACAAGTGAATAGGAGCCAGCATAAAATATCTATTTGATCTCATTTCTCTTTAAAATAAATACATTAACTTTAAAATAAATCCAAATGAAATCTACCTAAGAAATCTATTTCCCCAATTTATTAATTTCCCCCTGTGGTCACATTAACGCTACAGTTTCTTGGTGGTCCCACCTGATGCTCAGGTTCAGCTGCCAGAAAGACACAAATGGCAAAGAGGTTAATGATGGAAGCTGTCCTGCCATTCCCCCTCAGGTGAAGAAAAGCCCATCTCTTCTTGTGCAGGGCTGGATCAAGAAATGGGGGCCAGGTGATTTACAGATTCAAGTCCAGCAGGAAGTGCTCTTCTTCTGCATTTCTGATCCTATCATTTGATACCCCAAACAAGAGAATTGTTCTGGGGACTCGGCCAGTGTAGGATTTGGTCAAGCAACCTCGGGAAGCAGTGTTGATGGATGGCCACTGGACTTCACTGTCACTGACCTTTGGATCCCTTGTGCATCTATGTGAAGATGCTCAGGGACCTCACCTGGAATTTGGCGGATGGACAGCCCTCTTGGTTAAGGCAGGTGATGGAGTCTGGTTGCCCTGGCTGAGTGGATGTAGGCTGATATGTTCAGTCCAGACAAGGGCTAGATAATGTTAATCCCTGGGAAAACTCAGTCAGAATGGAAAGCACAACCCAGATCTGGATAGAACCAGGTTGTTTCCTCGAGAACATTTTTTTTGTGGTTCTGGAAATAGGTCCTATTGTGGAGGGTCTGGTAGCTCTGGCTGGAGAAGACGGAAGTAGCCACAGGCTTTAAGCACCTCTCTAAATTAATGAGGTGCACTCTGGGCGGACCACAGATAGACAGGATTTAAGAATTAAAACCAGTGCAAAACGCAGCATCCCAATCAGTCCACCAGACTGATTTGTTTTTGGCTTTTTACACGGAGCTTTGGGACTTCCTTATAAAGGCCTAAATGGTTTGAGATCATGATAGATGAAAGCGCACATCAGCCCATGTGAATAGCATGCTCAGAGCTTAAGGTCTCTCTTGGAGGTCCTTTCAAGTGTCCAGCCATGAGGAGGGGGAGGTTGAGATCTCTCTTTCCCAAAGGCGACTATCTGCTTTCTAAATGCTCATGCTGCCACTACTTTCCTTGTTAAATTTAGGTAGATTAGTTATTCTTTGCAGAGCAGAATAACTGTAAGTGGTAGTAAGATAAAGGTTCCCCTCGCAGATATGTGCTAGTCGTTCACGACTCTAGGGGGCAGTGCTCATGTCCGTTTCAAAGCCAAAGAGCCAGCACTGTCCAAAGACGTCTCCGTGGTCATGTGGCCAAAGGCGCACGGAACACTGTTTCCTTCCCACCAAAGGTGGCTCCTATTTTTCTACTTGCATTTTTACATGCTTTCGAACTGCTAGGTTGGCAGAAGCTGGGACAAGTAACAGGAGCTCACTCTGTTACACAGCGCGAGGGATTCAAACCGCCAAACTGCCAATCTTTGTGATCGACAAGCTCAGCATCTTAGCCATTGAGCCACCGCGTCCCTAAGTGATACTAATGCAGTGCTTTTAAAAAAAAGACGATTGCTATCCTATCCTCCTGGGCCACATTAATAAAAATGGTTTTGAACTTCTAAATTCTTTGAGGACAATTTTGGGGCTACAAACTCAGTCAACTGAGACTGAACTCAGCAACACAGATTGAACTTTGTAGCTGGACAGGAAACTATTTCCCCCCCAACCCAAATTATGAGATTGAATGTTCACAAGAGTAAATATAATGTGACCATATAAAGGATTTTACAAAGGGAGAAAAAGTGAGTTGCATAGTATTTTCTGGGTTCTTTTTTTCAGGAGCCACAGAATATATCACTGATCTTAAATCACTCAGCAGCAATAAGAAGAACTTTAAAAGTTTCTTTTACCTCTGAGATCACGATTAAAATCATGAAGTCTACGGATTTCGCATTCCAGCTTGTTTCTCATGGTCTTTTCCAGAGACTCCCTCTTGGAAGACGACTTCTCCAGATTCTTATAGGCCTCTGAAACTTGTTGTATTTCTGTTTCTAGCTATAACAAACAATTAAACGAGAATAAAACACAAAAAATATTCAGCGGGGCATTCCAATATTCAACTCTGAATTCCCTCAGTTCTTGCAAAACTCCCAGGAGGTTTGTTGCCTGGTTTGGACAGTGAGAAGAGGAAGCACTCCAGCCTGGCAGCTGACCATAGAAAGAGTCCCTTTCATGTGGCACCCAATGCCAGGTTGGCCCCCGACATGGGCAGCCGGACTCCAGGATGTCTGCAGGGGGAGCCAGCTGGGAGCCAAATGTGACACTGCCAGAGGGAGTCAGCGTACAAAAGTCACACAACCTGCATCAACACACTGCGGGATGCGTCTCCCTTGCAATCTTCCAAGGCATTGTGAATCAACCTTAGAGACATTTCAACACCTTGACAAAATCTGGATTTGCAGGGCTTGAACATAGGACGTTTATGACATTATTCACTTCAAACATGTTGAACAAGCACAATGACTGGGCTGACACATCATGCTGTAACAACCAGACAAATGGCATGATGGTTTAGCATAATATCTGAGCTCAGCCTTTGCCCCAAACTAGAGACTCATTACCTCTGAAGGGAATGATGTAGTTTTCCCTCAACCTAGGCCCAATTTTCATCTCCCGCAATTTCCAGGGAATATTTACTAACAGCCTGGTTTGAAATGATGGGAGTCAAAAGTTAATGGAGGGTTGGAAATAGCAAAGGTGGGATTAATGGGGAAAGATGGGGGGGGGGATTAAACATAATTAAAAAAGAAAAAAATTAGAAAGAAAAAATATAGAAATTACAAGAATAAGAAAAAATTAGGCGAATGGGTGGAGAGAATATAAGAGAAGTGAAGTTCCTGAGAGACTAAGAGAAAATGATTGAAAGGAAGAAAGAAGAAAAAGGATTTACTAGTAGAATAGAATGAAATTTGGTAAATATAGCCAATGGTATACAGCTAATATGATGTGAGGGAAATAGATTAATACTATTAATTTGGATCATTAACCACCGTAAGTGAAATGTTTGCTATATAAAATTAAATTTGAGGATATATGTTATTGAGAGTAAAACAGAATAATAGATGTAAATGAAATGTTAAATTTGATTAACTTGGAGGGGCAAATAATTATATTGTTTATAGATTAAGAAGAAATTAAAATTAAGCAGGAAAATATGGAAAGAAAATAAAATGGCTGAAATGTGAAATGAAAATATGATGTAAAATGAACTATGCATAACAGAAGATGTAAAGGGGGGAAACCTGGACAACACTTTGTTTATAAAAGAACTTAAAATATGTAACAAAGAATAAAAAAACTTTGTTTCATTAAAAAAAAGGTAATGGAGGCTTGGGAAAACCCCGCCAGCAGCCAATAGCCAGCGGTTTTTCCCTCAGCTTTCCTGGGAGGGCCAAGGCCTCAGCGCCAGGCTTTCTCCACACCAAGCCCCTCAGCCTTCGCTTCTCTCAAGGTGCCTCTATTGAAGTAGCCCCAAAATAAGACACAGTGCAGGTGGTCCTCAGGTTACGCCCACAATTGAGCCCAAAGTTTACGCAGCTAAGTGAGACATCTGTTAAGTTAATTTTGCCCCATTTTACAACCTCTCTTGCCACAGTCATTGAGTGAATCATTATAGTTGTTATGCTATTAACATGGTTGTTCAATGAACTGGCTTCCCCCTTGACGTGGCTTGTCAGAAGGTCGCAAAAGGGGATCCCATGAACCCCCCCCACCATCATAAATACGAAACAGTTGCCAAGCACCTGAATTTTGATCACATGACCACGAGGGGGCTGCAATGGTCACATGAAAAACGGCTGTAACTTGCAACCATCACTAAATGAACTGTTGTAAGCTGAGGACTACCTGCATGCAGGAGAGGAAGATGGGGGATGCCATACAGGTGGTTGATTTGTGGCTTCTCCAAAGCAGCATCCTTGCGATAGTCAAAAGAGAAGGAGAGGGGAGAAAGACGACATTTTCCTTACCTTTTGCAACCTGGCCACTTTCTCATAGCATCCGTCCAGCTCTTGCTGTAGAGACTTGTTCTCCTCAGAGAGGATCTCCACCATTTGCTGGGCCCTGGAGACAATGACATAGGGGTCCACAGGCATTTGCTGGTAGGGAGAAGGGGCTGGCGGGGGCCTGGGCAGGGCCGAGTAAGAGTCCGCTTGCTGCTGTCCAGGAAGAGGTTGGCAGAATCGGTAGATGTCACCCTGGTGCATCTGGCTGGGCAAAAAAAGTGGCTGTGTCCGGGGCAGAGAGAAGGGGTCTCCTTGGCTTGGGGTCAGAGGGGGCTGGTGTTGAGACGGTGACAGTCTGGAAGGGGGCAACGACTGCAACAGCGTCAGGGACCCCAAAGAGGTCAGGGAAGAGGTCGGGCTGTGGTGATGGGGAGGCCGTTGCTGGAATGGCAGCTGAATCTCCGGATTTTGCCTGTCAAGGACAAACCAACAATTCATTTAAAAAGGACACCACATTTGTACCTGTGGCTTCCCTATCTTGATGCCCCCACAGACACTTTGTAGGCTTCTATTCCATCACCATTTGAACTTTGGGCTTCTTCTCCTTCTAGTCCCATGATGGCGAACCCATGGCATACGTGCCAGAGGCGGCACATAGAACCCTCTATGTGGGCAAATGTGCCGCCGCCAGCTGCTCTTCTGGTTTCCGGTGCGTACATGCATGCCAGCCAGCTGGTCTTTGCTGACCCTGGAAAATGGCCTGAAAACAGTCCGAAGAATGCCCCCAAAACAGGGCTTTTTTCAGGCCATTTTCTGGCCATTTTCCAGGCTGTTTTTGGACCATTTTCAGGCTTCTTTCAGGCCATTTTCTGGCTCCAAAAACACCCCCAAAACAGGCATGTGCACAGTAGCCAGCTGGCCTTCAAGTTTCCCACACTCTGGTGCACGCTCATGTACACACATTCCAGTTTTGGCACTCGGTGCCGAAAAGGTTCACCATCACTGTCTTAGACCTTCCTGAAACAGCAGAGCTCATGTCGGTTGGGTTAGGATGCTAAGGGCTGTTGGGAGTGGATGGCGCTAGTCCCAGCTTTGGATGCTCAAGTGACTATCTACCCCTTGACACAGGATCTTCCAACCTCAGTGATAATGTGAACAACTTAGTTGCATAGATGCAACAGATGTGATGAAGCTCCAGGCTTACGTACAAGACAGTTTCCGTGGGCGTGGCTTGGTGGGCATGGCAGGGGAAGGATACTGCAAAATCTCCATTCTCTCTCGATCAGCCGGGACTTAGGAGGCAGAGAATAGATGGGGGCGGGGACAGTCATACATGCTATTTGCCGAATCTCCGAACTACTCAAAATTCCCGCTACCGGTTCTCCAGAACTGGTCAGAACCTGCTGAATACCATTTCTGCTTCCACCCTCCACCATTGGAACGGATGAAGCTTCTTGGATGAGAAGCGAAATGTCTTTTTCTTCTTCTTCCTCAAGGAAAAACAGGAGAAAAAAAAACCCAGTCCAGTTGCCTTTTTGAAAAAGCACCTTTGAGGCAACCCTGACCTGGATGACTGAGGATCTCCAGAGATACTCGTCTGAGCTACTTCTTCAAGGAGGACATTTTAAGGGAGAAAACAAATCTTCAGTTTCAGCTGAAAGTGACGGAGGTGACTGCATGCTTTGCTAACCTACTTCCTGGCAAGGAGACCGGTCTGCAGTTGCAGGTGGGGCCCCAGAGCCTGGGGCCCAGCCCTCCAAGTACCTCTAAAGCCAACTGCGGCTAAACTATAATTTCTGACATGCCAGAAATAGGACCATAATTAACCCGGAGAGCTATCATGTCAATGAAAGTCTGCAGAGATTCTCAGTCATCCAGGTCATGGTTGTTCCAAAGGTGCTTTTTCAGGAGGCAACTGGACTTTCTTGTACAGGAACTATTTGCACTACTCAGGTGACCCTGAAGATACAGATAAAACTCCAAGTGGCCTCCAGGACTCTCTAAAAGGATGCAAACAACCAGTTGTCTACAAGGAATATAAATCCTTCCATTCCCCACTGTCCTGTCATAGCTGAAGAAGCTTCTTGTTCAACTAAAAAACAAGAAAGTCCAGTTGCCTTCTGAAAAAGCACCTTTGGGTCTATCATGCCAATACTATTTCATTAATTTATCTTAAGTTGGATGACCTTGTGTTTTTCTTGAAGGAACACACTTAATATGAATCAAGATACTTGATACTTTTTCCAAGTCCAAAATTACGATTTTTGTGCCCAGACACCAAATATTTCTATTGCAGCTTCGAGATTCTCCACAGACAGTCAATAAACCTGGATTCTCAGGTTTATTTAAACCTGTTTTATTGGAAGTTACCTTACCCAAAGAAGCCTGTCAGGCCTTGTCAGAGTAAAGGCAAGTTCATGCCTATCCTATGCCTTGTGGGAAACAAGTTTTCGTGGAGTTTTGACTGAACTCTTTTTAATAACAATGAAAAATTCTGCATTTTCAATGTTTAATATTGTTAGATCTGTGTAGTTATAACTGCAAATATTGTGAAAATATTTACAGTATTTTTGTAAAAATTATTACAATATTTACAATTATTATGCTGTTCTGGAAAATATTTTGAAAGGTGAAAATTTAAAGTTGTAAGTAAGATTAGGTTTTATTATGAATAACAGAATTGGGAGGAACCTTGGTGGTCTTTTAGTCCAACCCCCTGCTCAAGCAGAAAACCCTACACCACTTCAGACAAATGTTTGTCTCATCTCTTCTTAAAAACCTCCAGTGTTGGAACATTCACACCTACTTGGGGCAAGCCGTTCCACTGGTTAATTGTTCTGTCAGGAAATTTCTCCTTAATTCTAGGTTGCTTCTCTCCTTAATTAGTTTCCATCCGTTGCTTCTTGTCCTGCCCTCAGGTGCTTTGGAGAATAGCTTGACTCTCTCTTCCTTGTGGCAGCCCCACAAATATTTGAAGATTGCTATCATATCATCCCTAGTCCAGGGGTGAAATCCAGCAAGTTCTGGAGAACCAGTAGCGGAAATTTTGAATAGTTTGGAGAACCGGCTGGCCCCAGAGTGGGGTGGGAATGGAGATTTTGCAGTATCTTTCCCCTGGAGTGGGGTGGCAATGGATTTTGCAGTATCCTTCCCCTGCCACACCCACCAAGACATGCCCACAGTAAAAAAAAAAAAAAAATCACCACTGCTTTAGTCCTTTTTATTAAACTAGACATTTCCAATTCCTGCACTTGTTCTTCATATGTTTTACTGTCCAGCCCCACTAATCATCTTGGTTGATCTTCTCTGCACTCTTTCCAGAGCCTCAACATCTTTTTTGTATCAGTGATCAAAAATGGATGCAATGTTCCAAGCGTGGTCTTACCAAGGCTAATTATAAAGGGATGTCAACACTTCACGTGATTTTGATGTGCTCCTAGCTTTAATCTGCTCAGGTCCATCCATCCTTCCCTTGACTTTTGTAAACTTTGCTTACTGGGCTGTTTCAAACTGTAACACGTAAAAGGATTTGACTGCTGAGCCCAGCACAATTCAGTCCACTGAAAAAGGCTCAGAGAATAAAACTTGGTTCTGAGTTGAAATTTTGAGAATGGCTGCGCTATTGTTTACTTGGCCAGATGTTCCCAATTGCCTGCAAAGACTTCTTCTGAAGACATCTGCCAGAGGCCTTTCACAAGGCACTGTAACCTGTCTGTTCTGGCATTCTTCCCTAGTTATTCAGGGAGATCAAAGACCTTTTTCAAGACCTTTCATGCATACAAACCGAGCATCTAAACACCAGCCGGGCGCTGATGTGGAGAAGCAAAGCATCCATTCCCCAAATACGGGGTGCCATTCGGCCAAGCTCTGAGCAGGAAGTAGCTCAACTGCTAATCCACACAATTTTCTTGCCGGGGCATTAAAAATAAAAAATAAAACAAAGCATCCCTGCAAAACCAAAAACCTTTGGCATTTGGTGTGACTGACGTACATTTCCTGTCAGGTGAAGGAAACGCAGCCACTCCTTGCTGGATGATCAAATTGTTCAGGGGAAAAAGGACAAATGAGCTTGATGTTTCACCCTCTGGAACAGGAAAATAAATCGGTGCTACCAACCTAGAAACAAAACCACCTTCCACAACTCACCTGGAACATTCTGGAGATGCCCCACTGCTAGTCCCCTCAGAAGACAGGGCAAGTTCATTTCAAGCAAGATGTTGTGGGCAATCTATTATTATTATTATTTTTTTAAAAAAAACATGGTCTCTGAGGGCATATTTGAGGAAGATCAGGAAGCCGGAAGGATCTCAAGTACTGTATTTTTGGAGTATAAGACGCACCAGAGTATAAGACGCAGCAAGGTTTTGAAGAGGAAAAATTTTAAAAAAGTTTTTGCACTCTGCAAACCTCCCAGAAATGGCCCGTTTTTTGCGAAAATAGACCCATTTTTTTTCAAAAAAAAGGGGGGGGCATGAATAGCCCTTAAGATGCTTGTAGAGCGCCCGGGGGGGGGGGCAAAACAAGCAAAAAACGGCCCATTTATTGCAAAAATGGGCCTGTTTTTATCAAAAAAGGGCATGAATAGACTTTAGGAAGCTTATAGAGTGCTGCTGGGGGCTGGGGGTAGGGGCAAAATGGCTGTTTTTCGCTCATTTCTGCCCTCCCCAGCCCCCAGTAGCTCTCTAAACGTCTCTTACAAGCTATGCATGACCATTTTGGTGAAGGGGGTGGGGTTTCTGGTGGCAAAAAATGCTATATTCAGTGTATAAGACGCACCCAGATTTTCAGCCTCTTTTTTGAGGGAAAAAGGTGCGTCTTATACTCTGAAAAATAGGGTATCTCCAAACTTTGCCTTTCCTGAATGCCTAACTAGCTTGAGAGCTGGCTCTGAATGCCACGGCTCAAATTGATCACTATGTGACTGAACTCCAGTCGTGTCATATTTTCAGTTGGGGGGGGGGTGTCAGGGAAAAAGTGAAAAGTTGGGATGTAGTACAGAGACACTGACACGCAACAAAAGCCCTCCCCCTGTTGGAGAATCTTCCAGAGAAAATGAGCCTCCAATCCCCAGATCCAACACTACCATTCTGGCACCCAATTGTGACAAGCCCAAATCCCACCACCTTTGACAAGGCCCACCCAAGAACACCAGACAACAGAAAGGACAAAATGGCACCCAAACGGCAACTTCCTAAACATTGGTGGTTAGAACCGCAAGGAGGTTGAACTGCTTACCGGAACGAGCCGTATTCAGGGGGATGCTGGTATCTCATGGTGGGCCCGTCAGAGCGTCCTTGCTGGGGCAGGCGGTGGTCACTATAGAAATGCCCAGGATCCAGAGGCTTACAGCCCATAGAAGGGCTGGACACATTCTTGTATGGGTATTCGGGAGGAGGCCCCCTGTGCTCCATGCCTTTCACCCCGGGCTGCGGAGGGCCTGCCCCAGAAGTCTTGTAGAAGTCATTAGTCTGTTGGGAGGAGAGAGGGGACAGTGGGGCGCTGGTGACGGGGGCATGGGCCTTCACGCCACTGGTAGCCAGAGACAGCTGCATCAGCCGCTCACTCAGGGAGCGGACGTGTCCTTGCTTGAGGTCCCTCAGTCCTTCATCCTGGTGGACCTTCCCTGGGCTCAGCCGCTGTACGGTGGGGCGCCCTTCGGTCCTCATCTTCTGGTTGGAGACACCGGTTACATAAAACGCCGCTCCAACGCTGGCGTGCGGTTGACCCCTGAAATACTGAGACTGGACTTTGGCTTCTTCGTAGGTCGGGAGGTCCTCGCCTGTTTGGAGCCTTGGCGAGAGCTGCTTCTCCATGATACAGTTGTCCATTTGAATCTCCTGGCCCTGGGGCTCTTGGCGAGCAACATGGGTCCCAATGGGATGGTCCTGGCTGCTCAGCCCTTCGTTGGGAGCCCCGGGGCTCCCGTTGCTGGCAAAAGGCAGGGTGGCCTGTTGGTGCAAAGCAAGGAGGGTGCGGCTCTCGTTGGGATTCCCATATCGGAGCTGCTCCTGCAGCAAACGCTGTAAAACTGTCGTTGCGGTTGGTTCTTCTGAATTCCTCATCTCCACTGTGGTGCCCCCTGGGTGGAACGCAAAAGGGAGCCGTGGCTGCCCTGGGCCTGGAGGGGGAGAGAAAGGAGGATTACTGAAGGAGCTAATGAGGAAGGGTGGGCAGGGGAAGAAAGGAGGGGAGAAACCTTTAAAGTTGGGAGATATAAATAAAAATAGAGAGACCCCCTCATGAAAGGTGAGTTTCCATGGGGAAATGTCTTGAGGCAAGAACCACGCTTTTTCAAATTTCTTTCTGAGTGGCACAGGGATACAATAGGTCAGTGGTTTCCAAACTTGGGAACTTTAAGACTTGTGGACTTCAACTCCCAGAATTCCCCAGCCAGCCATGCTTGACATCTTTAAGCCTAGCAGATTCTAACAAAGCTGGCTGGGGAATTCTGGGAGTTGAAGTCCACAAGTCTTAAAGTTCCCAAGTTTGGACACCACTGCAATAGGTGATGACACATCATTAAAGCGAAAAGGTCCGAGATGTACACCTTGTTTGAGAGAAGAGGTTGAAGGTCAAAGGACTACCCTAAGCTTAAAGGCCTCATTTTGCCCTGTCTTTGAGTTTCGAAGACCAAGAGTATCGGGCTGAAAAGGTTTCTACTCTCCATCCAGGGGTGATCTGTGGGCTTCAAACAGACAGTTGGACAACCCATCTGGAATGCCTCCACATCAACCAGACATGGTTTAAACCAGGGGTCTCCAACCTTGCCAGCTTTAAGCCCAGTGGACGTCAACTCCCAGAATTCCCCAGCCAGCTTTGCTAACCAGGCTTAAAGATGCCAAGATTGGAGACCCTTGGTCTAGATATGTTGGAATGCAGCTCCCAGACTTCCTACTCCATAGGCTCATGCACTGTGCTGGATGGAATAAAACAGTGATGGCGAACCTATGACACGCGTGTCAGTGCTGACACGCGT